GGAGGGGGCGAAGACGGCGGCGGCGGAGGAGGTGGGGGCGGGGGTTGCCGAGGAGGCGGAGGCGGCATGACCACCGCCGGTGTTTGAGGAGGCGGGTGGTGCGGCGACCGGGCGGAACGAACTGGTTCGGGGTCGGTCGGGGCCGGCTTGCTGTGTGTACGTGTAGATCGGGTGTGATGAGTTCCGTGCCGGCTGGTTAAATTTCCTCCTCGATGGCTTAGATAATGTCCTGCCAAATTAAATTTGGGAGCCCGTATCAGATGTAATCGCCTTTCCGTGCCTTCTCACGATGTATATCGGATCAAATAGATAAAACCAAGTCTCTTTGATTTGAGGCGTGCTAGTCAGCTGAACTTTTTAAAAGATTGGCCAAGTCGCGAGCCGTTGGATCTAGCGCATTGAGCGGAATCTTGTTGCATAATTTTTTTTGCAGCATAGATCTAGTTGCACGAAAGTTTTGGTACAGAATTTGCTCTTGTTGCAAAAAAAAAAAATCCTAACAAAGGTCTTGTTGCAGAATGTTTTTTATGAAATTTTATACATAGTTCTTTTTGTAGAATTTTTTACAATAAAGGTATTATTGCAGAAAAGCACCCAAGAAGAGAACGCCATGAGAGTTGGTTTGGGAGCTCGTTTGTGGAAAGAGAGGGGGGTAAGGAGAGAGGAGGAAAGGAGAAAGGGGTTGGCCTGCATCAACGGCACCTTGCAGCAACGGGCATGAATCTGCCTAGCATGGGTGATGAGTGGTGCCCTGGCCCGCATCAACGGCACCTTGCAGCAATGGCATGGATCTGCCAAGCACGCGGTGGCGAGCGGTGCCCTAGCCCGCATCAACGGCACCTTGCAGCAACGGGCATGAATCTGCCAAGCACGCGGTGGCGAGCGGAGCCCTAGCCCGCATCATCAGCGCCTTCCAAACACCATTCATGCATGCACCTTGTAGCAGCCGGCATAGATCTTAGTATTTGGGCTTCATCCAGATCGAAAAAAGTGGGTTGAAAGAACGAGGGTGAAACACTAGAGGAAGGGGACAGAGTTGCCCCGGATATTTCTAGAAACTCGAGGGTGCACTGTACTAGAGCGCACACGGGACATGTGGCAACAAAGGGAGGTGGTCAACGCAAGCGACGTAATTTGTCAGTTGATTTGTAACATTTCCCCTTTAATTTTGAGTTCCTTTTAGATTCTAATGTTTATGAATTTCTATTATTTGTTTTTGCCGGGAAGTTTCTATATAGTTGTTTGCTTCAACATGTTTTTTTAGCGGGGTTCATTTCAACACGTTGTTGGTTACCGTTCGACATGAGTGGTGAGATGTCTTAAAAGCACGTTGTTGGTTAAGTTTTTTTAACACCATTGTTGGTTAAGTTGACTGTCATGGTTAAGATTGAAAATTTTCTAAAAAAAGAAAGTTAGAATGAAAATGCGGGGGAGTTAGACCCTGAAAATGTGCAAGTGGCCTATCTAAGCTTCATGGAAAGCTTCACATATGGCTAAGAGAGTTAGGCAGTGTAAACTCTTTCCTGATTGTATCAACTGGCATTGTGTGCTTATATATACAATTGCACGAGAGAGGGGGATAGGGAGAGAGTACAACGACACTAGCCGATAATGCCTATCACGCAGGTTGTACATGTGCACATAGTGCATGAGTTGTTCGAAACTTTGGGTTCCCCGACGTTGAGACTGGACTAGAGTTTGAGGAAGACGCCTGTCGGTAAACCTTTGGTCAAAATATCAGTGGACTGCGAGCTTGTGGCACATGAAGAACGCGTATTTCACCAAGCGTGGCATGCTCTCGCACAAAGTGAAGATCGATCTAATATGCCTCATGCGTTGATGTTGCATCAGGTGCTCGGCATGTACATAGAGATGATGTTGTCGCAATAGACTATTGTGGTGCGCGCTAGAGATTGATGGAGTTAGCTGAGAAGCTGGCATAGCCACGTTGACTCCGTGGCATTGGCGATCGCTCGGTACTACGCCTCGACACAAGACCGAGAGTCGGTGTTTTGTCTCTTTAGACATACGTGTGTTGAGGCAGCCGGCCTAGTCGGCATTAGAGTATGCGACGAGCTCAGTGGTGGTGGTGTGATGAATCCGAAGGCCGAGATGCATCGTGCGACATTGATGACCCACAAGTATGTTGGGAAACGTAGTATTTAAAAAAATCCTACGATCACGCAAGGTCTATCTAGGAGAAGCATAGCAACGAGCGGGGAGAGTGTGTCCACGTACCCTCGTAGACCGAAAGTGGAAGCATTTTATCAACGCGGTTGATGTACTCGTACGTCTTCACGATCCGACCAATCCTAGCACCGAATGTACGGCACCTCCGTGTTCAGCACACGTTCAGCTCGATGACGTCCCTCGTACTCTTGATCCAGTTGAGTCCAAGGGAGAGTTTTGTCATCACGACAGCGTGGCGACGATGATGATGAAGTTACCGGTGCAGGGCTTCGCCTAAGCACTACGACGATATGACCGACGTGTGTAACTGTGGAGGGGGGCACCGCACACGGCTAAAAGATCAACTTGTGTGTGTTAGTGTGCCCCCCTCCCCACGTATATGAAGGAGGGAGGAGGGGAGGGCCGGCCGACCCCTAGGGCGCGCCCAAGAGGGGAGTCCTACTAGGACTCCAAGTCCTAGTAGGATTCCACCAAAAGGGAGAGAGGGGGAAGGAAGGAAAGGGAGAGGGAGTAGGAAAGGGGGGCGCCGCCCCCCTTCCCTTGTCCAATTTGAACTGCTAGGAGGGGCGCGGCCTGCCCTGGCTTCCCTCCTCTCTCTCCAACAAGGCCCATGGTGGCCCATTAGTTTCCCCGGGGGTTCCGGTAACCCCTCCGGCACTCTGGTTTTACCAGAAAATATCCGGAACACTTCCGGTGTCTAAATAACATGGTCCAATATATCAATCTTTATGTCTCGACCATTTCGAGACTCCTCGTCACGTTTGTGATCTCATCCGGGACTCTGAACAACCTTCGGTCATCAAATCACATAAACTCATAATACAAATCATCATCGAACATTAAGCGTGCGGACCCTACGGGTTCGAGAACTATGTAGACATGACCGAGACACATCTCCGGTCAATAACAAATAGCGGAACCTGGATGCTCATATTGGCTCCTACATATTCTACGAAGATCTTTGTCGGTCAAACCGCATAACAACGTACGTTGTTCCCTTTGTCATCGGTATGTTACTTGCCCGAGATTCAATCGTCGATATCATCATACCTAGTTCAATCTCGTTACCGGCAAGTCTCTTTACTCGTTCCGTAATGCATCATCCCGCAACTAACTAATTAGTCACATTTCTTGCAAGGCTTATAGTGATGAGCATTACCGAGAGGGCCCAGAGATACCTCTCTTATACACGGAGTGACAAATCCTAATCTCGATCTATGCCAACTCAACAAATACCATCGAAGAGACCTGTAGAGCATCTTTATAATCACCCAGTTACGTTGTGACGTTTGATATCACACTAAGTGTTCCTCCGGTATTTGGGAGTTGCATAATCTCATAGTCATAGGAACATGTATAAGTCATGAAGAAAGCAATAGCAATAAACTAAACGATCATAGTGCTAAGCTAATGGTGTGATCCCATTCATCAAATGACAACACATGTCTATGGCTAGGAAACTTAACCATCTTTGATTAACGGGCTAGTCAAGTTGAGGCATACTAGGGACACTCTATTTGCCTATGTATTCACACATGTACTAAGTTTCCGGTTAATACAATTCTAGCATGAATAATAAACACTAGCAGGTAGTGCGCGGCGGCACGCCGCGCCACATGGATTGAGAAGCAATTTAGTTTGTTGTAATATTTGATAAATCGATTAAAGGCTTGATTTCTGACAAAGTAGATCATACAGGGAAAGGGTACATTTAATTGGTACATGCACATAAGTGATCTACAAAACGTAGTGATAGTGAGTACTGGATGCAGAGTTGCAAAGCTCTTTGCTTTTCTTAGACATGAGATGTTGATCCTCCAGCTGGCCTCTAGCTGGGTTTGTTTCTGTGACGTAGTGATAGAGATATGAAGCTATTTCTTCTGCTCTTGTTTTTGGTGGTTTGTTTCCTATGAAGACAATGTTAAACTTATTGTTGTGTGCATGTTCTGACTCTAGACAGATTAGCAAAATATTTCAAAATTGAAGACAAACTTTTTTGAGGGTTCTTGTTCGCCTTGACAAGGCTTGCTTTTTACTGTTTTTGTATTTGTAATTCCTTTTCCTTGTCTTACTCCGTTCTTGTGCGGCTGATTATTCCATTCTTGTGCGGCTGAGTAGCCTTGTACAAGATGTGAGAGACAATTGTCCCTGGTTGTTTATTACTAATTGTTTATTAATGACAATTGTACATAATACGAACGTGAATACAAAGAAACTGGGAAGTACAATTAGATAGAGTTATTCATCTTTATAACGCAATATTTGGAGCTGAGGTGGAATTGCCTATTGGGTTGTCTCAGTGATATCGTGACAGAGGGTAGAAGTTGGAGCTTGCTGGT